TTGCATGTCTATGTCATAAGATTCTTAAGTATTACAAACTTTGGATCCAAATTTTATAAAACAATTGCTTTAGATGTAATAAATACAATTTTGCCTTATTACAAAATAATTTTCTGATGACTACATCCTACACATGCCTGACCATGATGATGATAATAATAATAATAATAAATAATAATAATAATAATTATAAAACAAAAAACATAACAAAAGAAAAAACACAATCCTCAAAGAAATTCTGAATCAAGATGTATGAGTTATGACCAGGAGCATCTTGTAGACCAAAATACTGTGTTTGGTTAATTTTGTCAGAGAGGAAAGCTACCATGATGAGAAACTCATGTCTGTCAAGCAGCCAGACATGATTTTGTTGTACTATCATGGTCTATAAAATTTAGCAGGAAGCTTCAAGATGACACTCTACCCATACAGCTAGCAGAGAGTTAAGGAGAAATGTGACTAAGCTATGAACTCTCAAAGCTCACCTCCTGTGATATGTTTCCTATAGCAAGACTTTCCCTCCTAAGCTTTCCATAATATCCCAAAACATCACCACCAACTGGGAGCAGAGTGTTCAAGTACATGAGCCTACTGTGAGCCTTTCTCATTCAAATCACCATGAATTGGATACTTTAGCAGAAATGAGAGCTAAGCCCTGTTTTTTTTTTCTTTTTAATTTTTTTAAAATTTATTTTATATAACAAAGTCCATTTAAAGGAAAACAAACATTTATAGACAATTTTTGGGAATTTGGGCATTGTTCTTTCCAAACTACTTCCTGCTGGTAAGGGGCACTGTCATGGGGGATTCGAAGAAGATTCAGAAATCTTGGCTGTAGTAAGGCTGCTTTGTCCAGCTGTTTTGGATGTAGGATCACCTCTTACTCTGTTTTAGGCAGTCTGGTTTGATCAAACCACATTAGTCTGGAAGGAATCCACATCTTTTCATTTTCTGTGGAAAAAAAATAGAAATCCTTTTCCCCAGTAACTTGTCCTTGAACACTTAAATTTTGGAGTCAAAGCATTTTTTTTAATTTAATTTATTATATTACATGTCGATCCCAGTTCCCTCTCCCTCTCTCTCTCCCTCCCTCCTTCCCGCTCTCCTTCTTTCCCTCCCTTTTACCCTCTCTGCCCTCTCACATGCACTCTAACCACCCTCCCCTCCCATACCCCCACCCCAATTCCCTATGTAGGGGAATGCCATCCAATTGGGGTCATGTAGATCTGACAGGTCATGTGAAGTAGGGACTAGGGCTTATCTCCTGTCTCTAGATTAAGGCAGTTATCCCTCCATGGGGGATGTGTTCACAAAGTCCTTTTGTGCACCAGGGATACATCCTGGCTTATCCATGGAGCCCTCAATTAATGCCTGTTGGAAACAGGAGCAAACACCCATACATAAACTGAGTTGAAGTAGAACCCAGATGCAGATGGAGAGGACAAGACCAGGCAGCAGAAACACATATAGACAACTTACCTGAACAAGAAGGAGCTAATGGCCACTAGACTGATAGCTGGGAAGCCAGCATGGTACTGACTCAGGCCCCCCTGAATATGGGTCTCAGCCAGAAGGACTGAGCAGGCTAAACCCTGTTTTGAACGAACACACACACTCACACACACACACACATACACACACACACACACACACACAGAAAGAGAGAGAGAGAGAGAGAGAGAGAGAGATGACAATTTAGCTTACCCGAAAGAAAATACTACCCCCAAAATTTCACGGTATGCAGTTATTCTAGGTAGTTACTTCAAGGAAAATCATTGAATCTAATCAGAGTAGTGGATTTTTTTTTTCTACATCTCATGCAGTTTGCTCCTCCTCCCCCTCCCAAATCACCATTATTTAATTCACAATAAAATTTTCACTAGGGAGTTCCAAAGCAAAGCAGAATTATCTTTTTCCATTCAGATAAAAGGAATGAGTGGCCTTCAAATATGCCTGTTTTTCTGTGCCTGCTAATGTTTCTACAAACTGGAGCCAAAAACAAAAACAAATGACTAACCTTCCTTGTCTAACAAATTGTTCAACAGGAAACATAATTTTGGTTAAGAAAGATCACCAGAAGGCTGGTAAGACACTATTAGTTGGCTAAAATTCACAAACAAAAAAAGGAAACAAATAACAAGGTTCATTGTGCATTACCAATGTTCACTCACCAAAGAAACAACTTTAGGTATACAGATTCCAAAGTATCCATTTTGTTTTTCTTCATCACAGGTAGAACAAGGACTATGAAGGCTGGCTATCAGGGAAAGAAAAGGAGTATGTGGAAGTGCAATTAAATGTATCTGATGCAAGAAATCCATCCATTCTCCCCATTCACCCAGAGCTAGCAAGCTTTAGAGTAACTGCCTCAGTCCCAAATAACAACATGAGGTATTGGAATATATCTGCCAAATTCAGTTACAGTATCACCTAGCTGTAAGGCCTGACTCTATGTTTGTCTGCATTAACAATACAAAAAACCATTTTATATAATCTGGGAAATATATTTAATTAGTATCATATATTTCCAATATATATTGGGAAAATGGGTTGATTGATTATTTGAATAAAGCTGCAGAGAGATACTTTTCTTCCCATCTGTCTCATGCCAGTGTTGTAAGTTATTGAAGGACAGAGCAAATTCTGGGATATATGTCACGTGCATTACTGTGGTCCTATGCCCCAGCAGAGAAGACAATCTCAGAAATAAGTTCTCTCAAGGCTCCAAGATCATGAGTTTGGGGGTTAGGTCCCTTTTATGCTCTATGTGATATTTCTTCTAGGGAAGGAAGACTCAAAAACAGAGTTTTCTAAGAGATCCATAATTGTATGGATATAATTGTATGGAAACTAGAATTCCTAAAGAAATATCATTACATTTCCTCTATCTCCAGAACCTGTCCATGAAAAATAAAACTGCCATAATGAACTTTTATGTATGGGACAGCTTTTGTTAGTGGAAACTCATGCACACCTGTGTACACACACACACACACACACACACACACACACACACACACACATACACACACACCACAAGTGCGTGCGCGCACGGGCATATGCATGCACACACAGAGTAAATTTAAAAAAGCAGAATGATTTATTTTGTCATAATTTGGGAGGTTGTAGCTATATGTAGGAATTAGAACCCAATGCAAATTCATTGAGTTTTCTGAGAACATTCCAGATTATATCACAACACTGCACTGTGTTCTCACAGCACACCATGACATCCTTATACAAAGGTGCCCTGCTTTAGAATGGAAATATGAAGTAATCCACTTATTCTTTTATTCTTACATTAGTTCCTTTTGTTGAATCTCACTTTGTTTTGGCAGCCCATGTTCCCTGGAATCGAAATGTAACAAGATTTCTTCTGGGTCTTTTGTTTTTACTTCCAAAGTATTCTTTTTAAAGCAATAGTTTGACTAAACCTATTTGTTATGCCTTTCTCCTTTGGGCCTTTCTTTTGCTAAGGAAATTTATGACTTACCTGATGTTTCTTTCATTCTCTCACCTTCCAATGCTTGTTTCTAGGGAGTGGTGTTAGGGAGGTTGTGGAACCTTCAGGAGGAAACACGCAGTTAGCAGAAGAAGATGGAAAGGACATACCTTTATGTTTGTGTTATACTGGCAGTGGTTTGATGTCTGCTATTTGCTTCCTAGTTTGCTATGTTGTGTTGAAACCATGATTCTTCTGACGCTCAGCCTTTCTTCCTCAACCAACTAAGACTTTGAGAAGCCACAAGGCAAAATAGGTCTTTTTATACTTTGTCTAATATTTTGGCTGCAATAAAGAAAGATGATCAACATACAAAATGAAAGTAACTGATATTTATCTCTAAGAAAAGCTATTGATACTATGCTGGGTAAAATTTTTGAAGAAGAAAAGGGTACTTGAATAAGTAGTAGTGATGCATTTCTGGAAAGTAATGAAAACTATAAAATACTGTCAAGAAAGGCACAGCAAGTCTGAAAGATGACTGACAAAGAAAATAGTAGTGTTAGTACATTGAACCCAATGAAATAAAGATAGATTCCATATAGCCATACAGAGGCAAAGAATCTGAGTGTTAGACATTACAACATAAGCACTGTTGTAATCACATATTAAGTAATATTTCAGAAATGATGAAGCATAAACTTTGGAACATATCTATATCCTTCTGAACTTGGTGACACTTGCCTATATTCCCAATGTTTGAGAGGCTGTGTTAGGAAGTGTATGTTTAAGGTCAGCCTAGACTAAGAACATTTAGTGAGAAACTGAGCCTAGAAAAAAGAAAAGAGGTTTCGGGTGTAGTGTCGTGGTCTGATGCTTGCTGACCATGTAGGAGGCTGTAAGGAGTACAGTTTTTTCCGCCTGCCGCCACCTGGTCTTGTCCTGCCATTGCGCCAGCCCCAAATAACACACAGAGACTCTGTATTTGATATTATATTGTTGGCCAGGTACTTGTTTCTTATTGGCTAGCTCTGCCTAAATTATTAACCCATTTCCGTTGATCTACATATTTCTCTTACCGGGGAGCCGGCGGCATACTGCTTTCTTCAGACTCTCCATCTTGACTCCTCCTTACTACTTTCTATTTTCTCCTTGTCTCCTAGTTCCTCCTATCTTCCTTTTCTATTGGCCAACAGTGCTTTATTATTAACCAGTATGAGAAACATATACAGAATGACATCTCCCATCATCTCCTCTTTTCTGTCTAAATAAAAAGAAGGGTTTTAACCTTAACATAGCAAAATATATTATACAACAGTTATCAAGTAAGAATCACAGTTAACAATATTTAGTCCATTAACATTTAGCAAGATTTGAAGAAAATATTTTATCATTTATTTTATCTTTGTGTGTCTAAAGTCTAAGTAACTTATCTTTAATCTTAACTAATGAAAACTATAACCATAACTATCTGTCTTTAACTCCTTCAAAGACCACAGAAGGATAATATATAAACTCTAGAAATGACAGAAACAACTCACTGCCTGGTCACCCGAAGTGTTAGTTGGATGCTGTGTTCTAATCACCTGCCGACAACATAACTGGCCCCTCACCATGGGAACCATCTGCACCCTGTTGTATGCGGATCTGGATGTGTTTTCAGGCACCTACATGCAGCTAGTGAAGCTTCTGGGGCTGGATGTGCCCGCTCTGTGCCTGGCAGACCTGGTGAAGTCTTACTGCAGCAGCTTCGCACTGTTCCAAGCTTCCCCATCTATACCGGTTAAATATGTGGAAGACAAAGACAAGATGCTTTCCCGCACCTTGCTGCTGGTGGAGCTGGCAAATGAGACTTGGCTAGTGACTGGGCGGCATCCCTTGCCTGTCATCACTGCTGCCACCTTCCTGGCATGGCAGTCTCTGCTGCCTTCTGACCGACTGACATGCTCTCTTGCCCAGTTTTGTAAATTGGCCAATGTGGACCTGCCCTACCCAGCCGCCTCTCGTCTGCAGGAGGAGGCGTTGGAATTAATCTTCATACCTCAAAACAATTGTTATATAGAAATGTAACAATGGAAAAAATAGATGCTCTAACATGTATATTTGGGTCCAGTATTATCAGGCTTAAAGTCTCTTAATAAAATGTAATATAAATTAGTTTCAATGATTTCTTACGGATGAACACAAGTACCATAGGAAATTATCATTACACATTTGCTTAATTCTAAAAATAAAAAAAAATACAGTGATACTAGTTATTTAACACAGACTAACATATTGACACGTGTAAAATGTAAGGGACCTCAATCATGTGAATTGGAAAAACTGAAAGGTGTGCGCAAACAGGAATGCCCTCTCAATATATTCTGTTTCATACATTCTTGAACATAATTCTCAGTTACTGTTCTCTGCTTCTTTAATTTCTCCCTTGTCATGTTATAGCTCTGGACTTCAAATACAGCACTTGCAGACATCCTTATTTCTGCTAGCTCAGTGATTGTATTACTCCCAAACTGTGTAGTAAGTTTTTCATACCCAGGTAAGATTTAGATCCAGGTAGCATTGGCTGGTTTTACTGGCAATTTGCTCTCATGCCCATCCTTTCTCTGACATTTCTCAAAGAGTTTTTTAACTGGATTTGGGAAGCATTTCTTGGAAAACAACTTAAGAACTTTGCTATTTAGAGAATTTATGTTTGCATGTGTCCAGGCTCTATTTGATTTTACTTGCCTTCTCCAGTGCCTCTCGAGAATTGTAAACAAGTCATTAAAGTTATCCAATGAGATACCTCCCCCCCCACCTCATTGGACTGGTAATGTTTTAATGATCATTCCTTTTGTGTTTAGAAGCTTTTAAGAGCTTAAAGTAGGACTTGTTAAATTAAACTCATGAGATAGAAACATCTGCTAAGGATGTGCCAATCTTGTTGCAGTATATATGATAATGTAATGAGATGAAGATAATTTTCCTCAAATAAAATTCCCATATCCTAGTAAGGCTAATCAATTTGTGGTCCAAATATAGAAATTATTAAATGTTCATTAATTTGTGTAAATTTTATATTACATATGATATAATTTTATGTCATTGATGATAGCAAGAATAGGACATACTTAAAAAAAAGAAAATAGTGTGCGTTTGAAGACCCATGCATGGCAAAACATATATCAGGTAGACAGAGGACAATTCTCAGGTGTGAGCAATCTCTTGCCACTCTTTAGTATCAGTTTGTTGAGCTCATTTTATTAAGCTTAAAATGAAGCACTTTTCCCCATTGAGACATATTAGCTCACACATAATTGATATATTACAAGTATTAATTAAAGAATTGCTCCCGATAACCACAGATTAATCTGGAGAAGGATGAATAATGTAAACCTGAAATTCAAACAATATACTTTTAAAACATAATGATAAACAAAAATAATAATACTTTCAGAAGTAGAGGATAACTACCAATGAGGAACTTAGCTTTTTTTTTTTTTTTTTCTTACATAATGTTAACTCTAGGGTGTTAAATTGTTGAGGAAGAAAAAATACTTTGACATTTACTTCAATTATCAGTGTTTCTTGATGAACTAAACACAAAACACATGTACTAGTTAAGTATAATAGTCTACAAAGTTAATCTTTTAGATAAGTAATAATTTGGTAAGGAATGGAAAGTGTATTTAATGTTCTAAAATATGGGCTAGAAAAATTCACAATAATTCATATCTATATTTAATGATAAAATTTTAGTGAATTAATTAAAGGATGATAATTGTGAGGCGTTACAAGATAAAATAAAAACATCAGATCCTCTTTCTCTGTCTTTTCTCTGGTAGGCTGTCACTTTGTGTATCTCTGTCCATCTTTCTCTGTCTTCCTGTCTATGTTTCCCTGTTTGTCCATATCAGTCTCTATGTCTTTCTCCATCTCCTAAATTTATTTATGTATTGCACAAAGACAACATTGTGTCATGTAAACATGTGTCTTTTATTTTATTAAATCTTTTTCTCATTTTACATACTTTACATATCATTCCCAGTTCCCAGTATCTCCCATCCTAGAGCTCTCCCCACCTGAAGCTCATTCTACCCCATTCACTCCAGAGAGGATAAAGTTTTGTATGGAAGTCAATGAAATCAGGCACATCTCTTTGAGGCAGGATCAGAACTCCTCCCCTCCCTCCAAGATCTAGACTGAGCAAAGTATCCTTCTAAAGAGAACAGGCTTCAAATAGCCAGTTCAAGCACTAGGGATAAGTCCTGGTCCCACTGTGAGTTGCCTCAGAGAATGCCTAAGTCACACAACTGTTACCCACATTCAGAGCGTCTAGTTTAGTTTCCAGCATATTTGCCTTGTACTTGTTAACACAAAAAACTGTGAGGAAACACATTACAGGTTTATATAAAGAAGACTAGTTTTTACAAGTCACCTATTTTTGATATGGTAGCACTAGCAGGCCAACAAGATCTCAGGAAAAAAAATCTTTCAAAAATATACGACATCTCCCTCCTTTGTGCCAGTTTTCAAAATAATAATAAGTTTCACAAATGGTAGATATTATCAGATTCTCAAATAAGGAAAATCTAGCTAAAAGACCTGAATCTAATATGATGCAAAAGTGTATATACTAGAGAACTGATGAGGTCGTTAAGATGACTGGATGCTCTTCCAGAGGATCTTGTTTCAATTCTCATATACAAGAAGGCAACACACAGCTGTCAGTAATTGTAGTTATATACTGACCATCACCATCTTTGGTCTCAGTACAGGAATGTGATTCACAGACTCATGCAGCAAAACATCTGTTCATATAAAATAAGTAAAGCTTAAAAGAATTGTAAAAGAAAGAGTCTAAAAATGACTTTTTGTGCTTTCTTGAAATTGTAGAATGATGTGGGATATATATATATATATATATATATATATATATATATATATATATATAATTTTTTTTGATGATACAAGGAATCCACATTTCAATTGTGTGTCCCAGGTGTGTATTTATATGAGATAAGCAATCATCTTGTAAATTAGCTGAAACTGAACTTCAATTAAAAAAAAAAAGTCTATGGGAATGCAACGTTTGAGAGAAATGCTTCAGGCATGTTAATGATTAGATTCATAAAATACTTTACATATCTAAAAAGGTTTCCAAATTTCACTCACAAAATCATAGTTTGTAATGGCACTTCATTTTTATAATAAATGCATGGGCTGTTTGTACTGGGAGAAGATTAATCATGGGAAATATCTCTTCAGTTCTCCTGAGGGACTGCTCAGCAGGCAGGTTTCAAAGACAGTTAAAACTTCTAGTATCATATAATAGGATGAAAGGACTTTTCTAGTAAGCAATAGTGAAATTCAGAAGGGAGTGGAGGGCAGAGAGATAGAAGCAGTAGACATTAGGATTGACTCTTGAAGAATGTACTTTCATGGTAACTGAGAGATGGGCAATGTGATGGAGACACCTCCCTACTTCTCTCTGATCTGTTTCCTTTCTTTTCTATCAGAAAATATCATTAGATGCCTTCAAGTTCAGTGATAGAAATCCCAGTTCCTCCTCCTTGTCCTCCTCTTCTTCTTCATTATTTCTCCTGAAAACCCATTGACACAACTGTAACTCTTGGGTGTGTCACCCCTTACAGACAAGGAGATGCTTGAGAGAGTTACCACAATGTGTACATTATGGTGGAAATAAGTATGGAATATAAAGAACATAAACTTGTAGTCATTGCATTTTCTATTTCTTCTCTATACTTTCTTGGACTGTCAAGAAAAGAATAATATCATTCCTATGGAAATGTAAGAGATTTCTACAACTTGAATAGTAAACAATCTAAGCACCAATGAACGTAAAATGCAACATTTCCTCCAGACTTATACAAAGATGTCTATGAAATACAAAACAAATTCAATGTGGTGATACATTATTTATGATCTAATAAAGCTTGCCAGGATATCAGAATGCAAAGCTAGCTACAGCCATAGATGCCAGGAAGTGGTGGTACACACACCTTTAATTCCAGGAGCCAAACTAGATAGCCATAGAAGCTGGGTGGTGGTGGTTTATGCCTTTTATCCTAGCACTGGAGAGCTATATAAACCAGGAGCAAGGTCTCAGACCAGGCAAATTAGTCTCCAGACATGTTGAGGACAGGATCGCTCTAGCCTTGATAGAAGTAAGAGATCTTTGGTTGCTTGGCTGCTTTGCTTTTCTGATCTTCAGCTTGAACCCTAATATCTGTTTCTAGGTTTTACTTATTCTTACTAAAATTCATAGCTTAATGTCTTATAGAATATGGAAGGGAGTATAAAAGCAAAAGTATGGAGAGAAGAGGATATCAGGTGCGTGAGAAATGATGACCAGGCATTTATGAAACAGAAGAGAAAGGAAGGAGCAATTCAGCTGCAGAGAGCATTTGAGAGTTGAGGGGAGGGAAAGGACATTCAGAGGCAGCTTGGAGGGTCATGACTTGTGGGAGAACACAGTTTTGAGACTTATCTATAAAGCCTGATAAGGAAACGGGAGCTTATCCTGGACAGAAGGAATTTCAAGCAAAGAATAAATATAAGAAGCTTACCAGTGTGCTTACATTTTTTAAAAGAAACTGAGTTCAGAAATTAATTGAACATTTATATTCAGGCATTGTACTCCCAGGCTTAGAGAGGAGGATGACCTTGACATATATGTTTCTGGGTTGAAATTATTTCATCCAATACTCATAGTGACTTATAAATATAGATTCCTCTTGTTACCTATTTAAAAAACATTTTTAAAGATAAAACAAAGAGAAAAATATAGAATTATAAAATTTTCCATAGATCCTATGTGTATGGTTGAAGTCTAAGCCCAAGATTAACTGTACAAGTTATTGTGTGGCAACTAAATTTTTCCAAATTTACAAAATTGATTTAATATTAATAATAATACACAGTGGAATCTGTAAATCTGAAATAATAAATACAAAAATACTAAACTGAATACTTGCAATTTCCTCTTGATACCCAGTAAACAAAAAAGACTGTTCATTAAGTTTTACAAAATAAATTCAATAATTAAAAATTAGTATGTTATCAAC